GAATATCCTCTCCTTTTCCCTCAAAGACCAGCTCTGCTGTGCCAAAACCCACAGCAGCCACACTATCCTCCTCAGCTACTTACCCACTTGCTGTTCTGGAAACTGGGAACAGCTATCCCATGATGCCAAACCCTACAAAAATCAGTTAACCCTGGCAACATAAGTCACACAGTTTGGAGCATATTTCTCCTCAGGTGAGAAAAGGGCTAGACAGGCCAAACTGGGTATGAGTTCACTTTACACCATTGTTCTGTAGTGAAGAAAGGAGGAAGGAGATATAAAGCAGGGGCACAGCAGGACTGAAACTCAGAAAGGCTGAAAAAAGCCAGCCGTGAAGTTAAAAAAACCCACTTCTCAAATGATATTTTCTTCAGACCAGACTTTGAGAAAGTCCAGTGGAGACTGACATTCAAACTCTGCCTGTAGCTTGCTTAGTGAAATATTCAATATCTGCCCCATTATATTTCTGAGGGACTGAACAGGGTCACTAATTACAAATTGAGAAAGGACAGGAAAGAAAGAAACTCAAGGCAGATCTTAAAAAAAGAAAAAAAAAAAGAAAAAAACCCATCACCCTTCAATTATCCATTAAAATATTGTGTTTGTTAACAGCAAGACTATGTTGCTGTGAGCCAGACAAAGAATCAGTGAAAGAAGCCTTGAAAAAAAACACAAAAATACTTCTGTAGCTAAGTCATTATAGAGCAGAAAGGGTTAGCAAGCAATACTAAAGTCACTCTAATCTGCTTTTTGGAGGAGTAAGCACCTTATACTCTCAGATCTTTGTAGACACAAGCAGAAATGGCACATATAAACTTTTGCTACTTTCCTTCTTGTCTTAGGATGGTTAAAAATTTTAGTCATTAATTATACTTACTACAGTGCTGGTTTTGTCACAACTGATGTATCTACTGACAGCCTAAGGAAATCACAGACACATGTGCTAACATGTAAAAAAAAAAAACAAAAAAACTGAGTGCCACAGAGGACCAGATATCCCTGCTGTCAAGGTCAGTGAAGCCTGTGAGCATCATAGGGGTGAGACATTCAAAACTCCAGGGATCAAGATTAAAGATGATATTAGCAGAAGCAGCAGAGCATCTTGTTCTTCAGCAAGAGGTTTAATGCTTAAAATGCTGCCCTAGTAACTGATGCACAGCCCAAAAGCATCAGGTAAGACAGAACTAAAAGGTAAAGTGATAGGCAGGTAATGGACAGTATAGTAAACCAAGGAAATTAGAAATTATATTTCCCTTGCAATCATTTAACTACGCAAAGATATCTAGGGGTGCTAACTCCTAGTTCTCAACTTCTTGGCTAATTAATTTTTTCCCATTCTAAAAGCTTCATTTTAATTAGCTCCCAAGTTGAGCTGCTATGAAGAGGTTTTATTTTCATTGTCTTTTTTCTATATGTAAAAAACAATGACTTCAAAACTATGCACTCATTAAAAATAATTAGTGATTTTTGATACTGCTAAAATAGGCAAGTGACACAGGAAAAATAAGTTGTTGGAGTTTTGTCATAATTTAGTTGCTTAGTATCACAACAGAAAAAAAAAAAGAGACATATATATTGATATATCAGAAACCATCCAAGTAGATTAAGTCTTGAAGTCACGAGTGCTTAAAGAGAAACTCAAATTCTTTAGTCAGACAATGGATAGGTGCTTACAACGGCTGCCACAAAGCACTTTTCATAGTTGCCTTCATTACAGCTTTGAATCTTTCATTCCATAAACTACAGCACAAAGAGCCATGCGTAACACAGTTGATACCATAGCAAAATGTGAAAATAGCATAACTGTCAATTCATTCCTCACATTTACATAGCTGGTTTAGCCTCCAATTAGGATGTTCAGAGTTATAAGTATGTACAGAAGTAAACTTTTATATCAATTTGTGTCTGTAACAAATGCATCTGTTGACAAGATAGCAATTACCATGGATTAAAAATGAAGTCCATGAAATGTTATGTTACATATTTGAAGATTATGTAGCAGTTTTTTAAATTACTGATGCCTTTGATATAAGCCTTGCCTTGAAATATGAATGTTGTTACCAAAAATAGAAAATGAAACCAGGGAGACAGAAATTTCCATCTTTTTCTTTTATATCTCCTAACTAGAAAATTCTATTTTATTATTATTTTAACCAGGCGAAACACAAGAAGTATTTTTCTAAACTGGATCAAACCTTTTGCTCATTAAGAAATACCACAGTCTTTATTGAATTGAAGTGTATCTCATGTAAGGCAATTCATCAACCCAAATAAAGGTTTAATCAAATACAGGTTCAACTTAAAATTTACCAATGCCAGAGACATCAACGAATACGATGCCTTTGATTCTGGAGTTCAGTGACACTGTTCTAATTAACACAAATACATGCTTTAGTTATTTCTCTGTAATTCTCAGCTTTGTTGCTGTTTTCTAAAGAGAAGCATGATAGAACATCCCTATCAAAATATTCAGGTTATCACTTGATTCAATTCTACTTAAAGTCTACAGTTTTGCAACCAATTTACATTTAGCATTCATTTCTCATGCATGAGTTGACCCACTTACACATGCAGTAAATCCATGCCTTTGGGGATTTTTCTGGATGGTTTGCTTTATTTCCACCACACAACTCATTTTATTTTGTCAATACAGTGAGCAAGGTTACAGTCATCCTATCAAATTTATTTATTTAAATTAGAATCAGAAAGACTATATTACCCCCTGTGGAACTTCACTGAAAATTTTTTGAAACTTTGAGGCTACATAACTTTTGTAATCAACTAATTTCAGATGAAAACAGGGATACAGAAAAAATAGGTCACAGTTACAGCAACTTCTTCTGTAAACTTATAAAAGACTTCAGAAATCCTAAAAACATATAATCAACCACATTAATATATATCATATTTTACATGCTTAAAAAAACTAGACAAAAGAGATCTTTCTAAGTAAGCCTATAGAATAAAGTCAGATGGAATAAGATCATTTAAGAAGCAGCTATACAGGCATCACAGCAGCTTGCTTTGACTACCAGAGATACACTTTACCTAAAATATTTCCCCTTGCATCTCTTGAGGACAGTTTAGCTTCACATTTGAGAGGCTTCTTTGAGGTTACTTACCATCCTCACAGTGGGGCTGCTAAAAGGGAGCCTTCCCCACACAGAAATTGTCCCAAAGTCACATGTTATTCAAGTCCAAATAGACTTGTGTCTGACAGACAAGCACTTCCCTTTTATACAATTTGCTAATGTGGAGTTTCTCTCTCACGTTAGTAGCTCACCTGAATTTCAGTATACATTTGGGGTTAGTGTTTCAACGGACTTACCCCAAAGGTCTATCTGAATTCACACATCTCATGTTATTCTGGGCAGTATGGGATATAATAGCCACTATAAATCCTTATTTTTAATGCTAGCAGTTTTTCCAGATGCAGTTGCCTCTCTTGGGCAGTGGTTTGTTTTCCAGCTTCTCAATGACAAAATGCTTCTGTGAAGAGTTATGCACCTTTCCACCTCTCTTACAAAGGAAGCAGCCTCATAACAACATCACTCTTTCTCCCACTCTGGACCAGGTAGTTGACCTTCAGCAGGTGAAGAATGTCACCTTTTTAGGGATATCTGTTTTACTACCCCCATGGAATATGGCCTAATACAACAGTTACACACTGATGCAAACTGAACATCCAAATGCTCAGTAGACCTTTTACCATAGTCAAAGTTACCTAAATTATTCAATTCCACCTGTACTGACAGATTCACACATAATGATTGTTATGACTAGGTAAGATTCCAAAAAGTACCCTTCAACTTGGCATTTCAGGGTCTAAAAATAATGTTTCTTATCTCATGTTGGGAGCTATTGTCATGTGTACCACGAAGGATTTAGAAAGAGAGACCAAGAAAGAGAATCTGAAAAACTTATGGGGCCAGAAAAAGAAGTCAGTGCCACCCCTGATGAATCATGAACACATTGTCCTGGATTCCCAGCAATCTTTTCCAGCTTCTCAACAAACAGCTGTAAAATTCCCTAGCAAAGGCTCTGTGTCCCTCTACCTCTAATGGAAGGCTCACACAGAAGATAATGGTTTACTCTAGATGCTACTTACTGCATTAGCATAAGCACTTTAATCTCTGTGTTTTAGTTCTTCATCTAAATAAGGTCTGCACAAAAGGGGTTTCCAATACCTCCTCATTTCTTAGGCAACTCTGACAACAATGTAAATGAAAACCACTAAAGAAGTGAGAAAGAAGCTTTAGAAAAACTCCATGAAGAAGTTACAAGTTCCTTTTACAACATTTTATAGTGTGTGGAATATCATACCATACGGTAAATAAACAATAAATGAAAGAAAATATTAGAAAGCTGAACGTTTGGTGACTATTGTTCTACAGAGGGATCACAGCAGGAAGAAGTAACAAAGCACCATGCCGTTAAATAACTTCAGACTTTTTATTGAAACCGTAGGTAAAGAATTCATATACATAGGGATTAATTTAACACCGTCTTTTTCTAACTTTGCATAATGCTTTGATAATGATCAGTAAAGAAAGATCTTTTTTTTCTTTTTTAATTAGAATACACACTGAGGTTTCAAATGCATTCTCAAAGGTTTCAATTTTTAGCACAAGTTCTATCTAAAATATTACTTACATTTCCACAGATTCATCATTTCTTAAGCATGAGTTCAGTCATTTTCACAAAATCACAGAATATGCCAAGTTGCAAGGGACCCACAAGGATCATTGAGTCCAACCCTTAGCGCTGCACAGGACCACTCCCAAGAGTCACACTGCATGCCTGAGAGTATCGTCCAAATGCTTCTTGAACTCTGTCAGGATTGGTGCTGTGACCATTTCCCTGGGGAGCCTGTTCCAGTGCCCAACCACCCTCTGAGGGAAGAACATTTTTCTAATACCCAACCTAAACCTCCCCTAATGCAACTTCAGGCCATTCCCTCAGGTTCTGTCCCTGGTCACCAAAGAGAGGAGATCAGTGCCTACCCCTCCTCCTCCTCTCACAAGGAAGTGGTACAATGCAATGAGATCTCTCCTCAGTCTCCTCCAGGCTGAACAGATGAAGTGACCTCAGATGCTCCTCATATGGCTTCCCTTTAATTTCTGAAAGCTTACAAAATATGAAAGCTATATAAAAATCTGCAAATACTACTCGTGGTCATTGAAAAATAATGTGATTCTTTTGCTAAGTCATTTCTAAAGCATTTATTAGGACTCTACCTTTAAAGGTAGAATGATTTCTGCTTACTGAAAATGAGAAGTGAAAAAAACTTCAATACAGAAATATTCAAAAGTCAAAGGACCTGGGGCTTCTCAGAATTTCCATTTCTAGGTATCCATACAAAGCAAGCTTGGAAGATCAATCCACAAAAGGAACAAGGTTGGATGTGAATCTATGGATGTGTGTTCACTGCAAAGGAGAGCAGTAGGAGCTCCACCTTCTTGCACAGATGCCCTCATATTAACAATAGGAATTACATATTCGACCTCCTTGTTTCCAGACAGAAAAAAATGCTGTTGAAGGCAACTGATAGATGCTTAATCACGTGAGTTATATGCAGCATATTTGCAGTGCAGCTGTGTGGAATTAAGCCTACAGCATATCAAATAATGAATAGCTCTCAGAGTTGTAGTTCATGTTAAACTGTCAGAGGAATCAAGGGGAGCAGAAGGCAATCGGTACCATGGTGCATCCAGCCTAACCCATATGCCACGGACATGAAGCAATTCAGGCACTGGTCAGCAAGTGCTTTTCATCTATGTTAGTAGACACAATTGTCATACATGACTAAATGCTTATTTTTCAAGTAAAAAAACAACACCATAAAAGTCATGCTTAGGAATACAAGGACAGTCAAATAAAGAACGAATCACTTCAGAAGCAGTTAAAATCCCAGCGTTGCCCAGAACAGCATAAGCTCTTTTTGTATGCAATTTAACATGCTTACCCAGTCTCTTTGTTGATGGTTGGTTTGATGGGTGGTTGAAATGTAGACATTGATGTTTCTGTTATTTTTTCCTGTTCCCTATTCTTCTCCTTCTCTTCAATTCAATGGAGGAAAAAAAGCCATTGGAGACAAGTATCTGCAGGCTTTGCACTGTGAATCCTACAAATGAAGCCCTGGGCCATGTTAACATCTTCTCTTGCCAATTTTCTCTACAATCTGTTTTAGCAATTTAAGAGATCATTTTGTGTTTGAGCAAGTAAACAGGTTAAACAGCTCTGCCAATAGCTTCCAAATAGGGAGCCGTGGCTCATTGTCTGTTAGGGACAGTTTCTAATTTCAGATGTGCAGATGTGCACAACTGCAGTAGCAATATGCTTTGTGTTCTGTTTTAGTTGCTACTGAAGACATATTTTTATTACATTTGAGGTAGTATCCAATTCCTCATCATTTGTGCCTTTATCCAGATAACAGGTGTTTAGTTGATTCAAATTATGAGGGAAATCCTGCCCTCTGCTGCATCCCTGAAGCTGTATAATTTTAACTGGCGGTAGAATGTGACCCTTGATACTGAAAAGAAAAAAAAAAAACACCATGCACCATATTTCATTAAAGACATTGAAAGACAATTAATAAATAGCTTTTCTCACTAAAATCCACATTAAACACTTTCAAAAATGCTTCAAGATTTTCATGCTCTCTCTCTGCAGCCAGTATAGGCTTCACTAATTTCAGCGAGGAGTTTAAGTCCCGATACAAGGGGGAGACACTCTCTTACCCCACAGGGGGGTGATTCAGTGACCTTCCCTTCACTAAACTCTACTGTCCTTCCAAACTTCTTCACCAAAGTAGAGTATCTTGGAAACGTGCTTTTTAAAGCAGATTTAATCTGTTTTCTTATTTTCCTTCTTTGCATTATCATACATTTCATTTCATATACAATCCAAACTTACTGGAAAAATGAGTCACATATAAATAAATGAATTGTATTACTTCATTTTGCTAGTTCTCAAAGGCAAGAAGGGCACAGATGTGCCGTGCTTCTTGCTCCTACATGGCTTAATTTCATAGCAGCATTAATATGGAAGTGAGAAATGCCTTTACATGGGCTCTCAAAGCAACCAGGGTAACCACTGTGAAAGCTTCCATGCATCCTTCGAGCCATACAACCAAGGCAGCAACCTCTACTATCCAAGCACTGGCCTAATCTTAATGAAAGCTTCTCACTCCAATTTGTACGGACACCTGTTTTCTTTTATACTTTGTAGACATTTACCAGGAACAGATTTAAGAAAGAGCAGCTTATTTCACATAGGATAAAACATGCTTCAACTCATATAGCTAGACATAAAAGTGCAGTGGCAGTAAGCTGCAGTTCATTGCTGCAAACCACTGAAAGTGTTCCATTTCCCTAAAAAAAATATTATTACATTGAGTTCCTACTTCCTCATTTAGCCAGTGTCATGACAAATCAATAATCTTTTGCCATCATCTTTAATTATTCTGTTCTTTTTGCCACCTTAATTTTTTCCTTGCAAAACCAGAGTGCAGTTAGCTTATTTGCAAAATCACCTATAAAAATACATGGTATGTTTTTCATTTTGAGAATATTCACATTCATATTGAAAATCCTCTCAAAGTTCAAGACAAACAAAAACCACTGCAAGGTCCTTTAACAAAATTTACACATTTCTCTATGTGAACAGTATATGTTTTTTGTAGTGACTACATATTCTATGCTAAAAGCATGTTGTACATCAGCAGAACTGGGCTTTTAATGACAAAAAAACCCATGAGATACTGGCATACAATTTATTCTTTTCTACGAAACTGCATTCTGGTCCTAATACTTCCATTGTGACATAAAATTAATTCCATAACTTCGGTCTAAGTCTTCAGAAGCAGGGTTGCTGGTGGCAAAATAGCAACCAAAATCCAACACCCTCTGCCAACCCACTCTCCTTCCACTCCTCCTATGATTTTTTTTCCTCACAAGGTTTATATTCATAGCATAAGAAATTCTTTAAAAAGTCAGAGAGCACTGTGCTAATATTAATGTATGATGTCAAACTTAATATCAGGACAAAAAAGACAATATTTTAAAAGTATTTATGCTAATTATCATCTATTACCATTAGTTTTATTTTTTTATTTATCTTTATCAAGAATATCTACACATTTAACTGTGTTCACTTACCCCTTCAATGAAGTTGTTACAATTTTGGTTCAAATAGGCTCTTTGAGAAGTATCTAATACTTCAAGGTGAAATCAAAACAAAACTGAAAATTGAATAGATATGTTAGTATTCTTCCATTTTTCTATATATGAAAAGTAAAATTAATCTAAAATTATTAAAGTGCTTACCTTTCAGCGTCTTGAAACCTTAATTAGATCCTTAGTCGATGGCATATACTGCTTATCTGATAAATACAGAAACTACTCTGTGTGGAATGCATTTCCATAATACAGCAGTTTTCTAATTAGATTCAAGTTGTGGCCTATGCAGAATTATTTTTCTAGGATATAATGCTATAAATGAATTCATTATTTAAGCATAAGCAGAAATGAAATGCAACTTCTTTTATCATGCACATTTTAAAATTCCATTTTACACATCAAGATTAATTCTTTATAATAGACTTCCTTACTTGGAATCTGTCAGCTGCATACATAGAGAAGAGAAAACAACTCTGTATTGTTAAGATTGGATAGAACATATCTAGATTGTTAAGACTGGGTGGTTAAAAATGAAGAGACAGGAGTGGTACATGCAATCACCAAGGAAAAAAACTGAAATAAAACCATTTTTCACATTTAAAAAAGCTATTTCTGAGACTGAAAAGTCAGATAGGTATCTTTGGTTCAGGAACCGGACAGTATCCTAAGTTGTGCTAGAAGAGAAACCCCCTTGGTCCATTGAAACATAGAGATAAGAAGAAAGCTCTTTCCCATGTCACAAAAACCAAAACTTGTTTGTTTTATCATCTCCGTTTCCCACAACAGAAAACCCAATACTCTTTGAACAAGAGAGAGATAAAGAGCATGCAAGTGAGCTGTGTCATACTGTTCTGTAGTCTGATGTTGAGGGTACTGGGCTTGGGATATCTAATTAAATTTCTTGGCATGCCAGTATCCAAAACTGAGCACCACAGGCCTGCTGCAGGGTACTCGTCTCAGCTTCTCCTAACAGAGCAGACCCGTGTGAGGGATTAAGTATTCATCAGAGCATTGCTCGTTTCATCTCCTTGATGCATTCCAGAGCCACCCCATGCAAAAGAATCACTCTTGCTTTAGAAAGCTATATAGGTCACGAGAGGACCTCATTTAAGTTCCTGGTCTGAATAAAAAATACAGCTGATTAAAACCAGGGACTTGCTGAAGTTTCCCAGATCCCAAACGGAAGTATTAATGGTCATGCTTTTTGCCACTCTGAAGAATACATCTTCTTCCCCTCTTACAAACCAGTAATTTCAGTTAACTCAGCGTGAACATAAGAGATGAGCTTTTGTTCTCATCTTATCTATGCACAGGAGCATTTGCTCACCTCTTAAACTAACTGTCCTCCCCGTTGACCAAGGCTCCAGGAAATAAGCCCAAACTTTTCACCTCTAAGAGCAGCTGTGGACATCAAAATCTTAACTAGTCAATGCTTTGGCAAGAATGGTACATCTCCATTGCTGTGAAAAACTAGTATATTTCATTGATTTTTTTTTTCCAATAATATATCAACCTGAACAAAGTTTTTTCTTTCAAGTACATAAATCCCATCATTTTCTTCTGATTATACTTACATTGGGTGTTTCTGATGCCATGCTGTTATTTTATTACCACAGAGAATGATTAAAAAACATTTTCCCAAAATAATCCATGGGGACAAGTTCTTGTAGCAGAAGAATGATCAGGAGGAAAGCCAAGACAAGCCAATAGTATTGATTCTGTATCATTTCTAGCTCACACTAGTTCTTACCTATTTTATATATATCATAACTTGCACTACATATCACCCAATATTCCTTCATGCAGTGAGTTAAACATGTTATGAAGGAATACAATACCAACAAATAACTTTCCTAGTAAAAGTTATTCAATAAGTCAGTAAAAAAATAATTAAAAAAGAAAATAGTAAGTCAGAAAAGGTCCCATTTTTTAAAATCTGATTCCTGTAAGCTAATGAAACACATTAAGTTTTGCTATTTGCCATTTCTTTCTCATCTTGCAGAACATTGTCTTGCATGTATTTTCTTTTAAAACTCAGCATCAAAATTTTATCTGCTTTTAGAAAACTCCATCTTGCCAGTTATGCTATTTTTTTCAGTTTTACAGCCCCTGCTAAAAAAGAGACAGAACTGTATAACTTACATAATTTATATAGTTTATATGTAAATTAAAAGTTACAAAAGTATTCTTACTCACTGTCAAATCTATCAGAAAAGGAAAAAGTGTCAAATCATTTTAATAAAGAAAATACTTTGAGCATACTCGCTGAAAGCTGGAGAGGTGAACACACGTTTCCAATGTGCTGTACAAGTCCATGGTATACAGTTACACACACTTCAAAATCAGACATACACAAATTTATCACCAAAATCATATTCTTCACTCACACAGGCTTCATCAGAAACACCAACAAACATACTTAAACACACTAGTTCTCCATCTACAATCACTTGAGGTAGCAGTCACATACATTACTGATTTGTTCCTGTGTCCTTTTCAGTCTTTGTAACTCAGGCGTATCAGTCACAATACTGAACCCTCTTCCTTTGCTTTCTTCAAAGTCTCTTTTGTATTTTACCTACAGAATAGAAAATACAGAAGAACAGGGTTGTTTTCATTTTCCATAATTTGCCCCTAGCAATCTAGCAATTCTTTTTTACTGTAAATAAAGGACTTGTAAGAGGCTTTCAGCTTTTAAAGGAGAAGCCTGATTTCATCCACTAACAGAGATAGGCAGCAACTGGACAAAACTCCCCAGTGCCTGAGCAACTGCCTCCTCTGGGGGTGCCACGAGCTCACCTCCACGCATACTGCAGCTGAGGAAAGATCAGTCTGTGGTCATTTCATTCTCAGAGCAGTTACCACAGAACTATAGACGCCCGCACAGCATCAAGCAAGCACCTATACTCGCACAAAAAAATAGCTATAACTAAATTTGGAGGTCTTCTAATACACAGCTTCCCATTTCACCCTCTTTTCATGATTATTCTACCAGTCTCTTTCCCTGTTGAAACATAAATTACACATAAAAAAATACTGCATGAAAAGAGTATTCAGAATATGATGAAGTCAAACGCTGGTAAGTAAGAGAATGGTTGCCTGTATAAGCTTAATTTTTCCCTCTTGCACATATGCATTCAGATATTGTCTTTAATCAGGTACTCATCCATTGACATAACCTTTGACAAGGCCCCCTGCTTTATTCTCTACACAGCAGAGATGATTCCATATGCAGTTGTATCATTTTTTTGGACCAGACTATACAAATCCTACCATCAAGGCAGGAATATTACTTTTATCAGGATCTTTTATACAGCTCTCATCACATTAATCAATCTTCATAATGCACCCTGGAAAGTGGGAATAGCAATATCCATGCTTCTAGGGCAATGTGCAAACTGAGGTGAAATGAGTTTAATTTCCAAAACCACACAAGGGTCTCAGGGTGTTCACTCTCAGATTCCTAACAGTTGAATATGTTCAAATTATGGACTTTGAGTTACAAATACCCAGTACTTCTGCAAAATCAGTCTTGGGGATCTCAGTTTCAACATAAAGAAACAAGATATATTAAGTCACTACTGAGTAACAGACAAAACTCTGCAGAGTCAGGACCCATCTCTCCCCGGATGGATTCATCTATCTTACCCATATAAACTTCCTTTTATTTCCTGTGTCTCCTGCTTTATTCACTACACACATCCAGATTTTGCAGCACCTGGGAGAGCACTAGTGCAAAGCAGGATTCTCCTTCACAAAACTGATAAGCAGAAAACATTCAGCACATGTACCAAGTTCAAGGTTGGCTTAGGTTTATTTTACAAGCAAGTACCTAATGTTATGACGGTCATGCACAGGAAGAAATACCTCTAGATCATGAACGTTAAGTTTCAGAAGGCTATAGAATAGAGTTTGTCCTCCCCATCCTAAATCTCAATGAGGATTTTAATAACTTTTGCTTTTTCTTTAAATGGCATTTTAGCATATATCATTGTATGTCGCTCACACGTAAGCCCATCACACAAATCCTTGAGACACTGCAGTATGTGACCTGATCAACGAACCATTTTTCCTGTGTTCTACATTTAGAGGCAGCTGTAGGTTTCACACAAGTATAATCTTTTCACACCACCCTGAGGCAAAGGAAACAGCACTGCCACTGGGGTTTTTGAGAAAACCATGGTTGGCTGGCCCATGCCTTTCTGTTCATCTCCCCCAGGTTCAACTCCTCTGCACCTTTCCTTCCATTTGACCACTGTATTCAGGTATCACTTTGTCTCCTAAATTTCTAAACTACACTGGTCCGTCCCTCCTTGGCTTCTTGCTAAATCCCTTTATCCAAGGCACTCCAATTTTCATTGCCTATTATCTCCCTTCTATCAAATGACTCTCCATCTTCCCACTGACCCTCAGAGGATTCCTTAAACATATTATTCCAGGACTGCTGCTAAGAAAGAGGTCTTGGAAGTATCTGTAAACTTTCTTTATTTGAAGTCATACAAAACTTTATCAAAATTGGACAGACTTCCATGGCCAAGGACACATACCTAACAAAAAAGACTTCCATTTCAGCAAGCTTCAGCTCCTCAGCCCTAAACGCCAAGAAAACTGAACTGTTAAACAACTTTAAAAAAAAAAAAAATTAACCCCACTTGTTAATAATTCCAAGGGAACAAAAGTTTATCCTAGTCTCAGCCTTGGGAACTGCTAAGTATTTTGCATAAAAATACCACATTTGACCTGAAGCAGGCAGCTGACATGGAAATGTTCAGTCTTACTGTTTAAAGTTTACCAGAATTATGAGCAAGTGAACACATCTTACAATGAGAAATGGGTTTAGCCCTGCCTACAAGAGAGATTACCTATTCTTAGAAAGAGTATTTCCTGCTATTAATTCCAAATGTTCTAGCCATTAACTTCAAATGACCTTTATTCATCTTACAGAGGAACAGAAGAAGAAGAAAGGGAGGGAACTAGATAGTTTTAACTTAATATTATTTTAATCCTTCAGTCAGATAAAAAGGGCTTCTACTCTCTATTAATAAATCACTTGACAAGAGTAAGGTTAACTATAGTTCTCAGAGCAGCTACTCTGAAACAATAAAAAAATTATTTAAAACATTAGTAGAGTTAATATATGCATTATTGGATTTTGCTATCTAACTTCAAAACGTAGTTTTGAGTTATAAAAATCATAAAGAAACATAATAAATCATGAAGACCACCACTCTTTGAAATGTAGCCCACTAAAACTACTAATTAGCATAAGTTCAAAAGACAAAACACCTCAGTTTCCACAAAATGTGAAATAATAAAGATGTCATCAGTCATTTAGAACTTGGATCTAAGCACAACTCTTATTTAGTATCAAGAATTAATATGAATGAGGAGGGGACAAAACAACTGCTGATTGACTCCCAATTTCAGATAATTTAAAAGTTCAAGTTTTGCTTGACCAGAAAACTTTTAGTAACTACAAAATCTGGGATTAAAATCCAAATTAATTGCTTTAAACAAATTTACAGTAGAAAAGAATATTCTGTACAGGAGCTGTAAAAATCACTATAACAATTGACTTAATCACATACTGGGTCTGTCTAGAGTTAAATTTCCTCCTAGCAGCCCATATAGTGCTATGCTTTGAATTTGTATCTAGAACAGTGCTTTGGCTATTGCTGAGCAGTGCTCACAGGGAGTCATCCCTAACCTCACCCAAAGACCAGTAGGCTCAGTGTGGGTGAGGGACTGGGAGCTGACACAGCCAGGACAGCTGACTCAAACTGACCAAAGGGGTATCACATATCATAAAACACCATGCTCAACAGCAAAAGCAAAGGGGGAGAGCAGACTTCAGTGATTAAGGCTTTTGTACCAGGGTCCTACTTCCCAGGAAGTGGCTGGACATTGCCTGCTGATGGGAAGCAGAGAATAAATTTTGCTTTTGCTTTGCTTCTGAGGGCAGCCCTTGTATTTTTTAAAAAAAAAAAAAAAAACCACAAGAAGGTTTTTATTGTATTTTCTCCCTCTGTCTTGCTGAGGAAAGGGAATAAGAGAGCAGCTTGGTGGGCATCTGGCGGCCAGCCAAGATCAACCCAAACGGGAACCCTTGAAATTTAGTTTTGAAATGGAAATGTCAATAACCCCTAATGACTGAATCATAAATGCAGTCATTTCCTACAAATATGATTTTCAGCAACTCC